GGAAGCATAGGAGGCGATATGGCTTCTGCTTTTCTGCAAGATAAAAGAAAAAATAGCTTGTTGCATGGGCAAAAGTTTTAATGACAGCTGTGCTGTGAGGGGGCAATGTGAGAGGAGACTGCAGAAGCCATAACGGTACAATTAATCGAACAATATAACGAATCAATTATAGAAACTATTGAAAAATAATAATAGCCCTAGTTGAGCACTTCTCATGTTCAAGGAAATTAAAAACCTGCAAATTTTCTCCGGCTGGCTCTCCGCCGCACTCATCTCCTTTTCCTCTCTCATTCGCTTCTTCCGCTTATGCTCACTGCTCCGAGTGCGCGTGGAGATCGGCGTATCATGCGTCTCTATGGAGAGAGGGAGGGGTAGAGAGATATATAAATAGAACAAGAAGAGAGAAAGGTCAGAAAACCAGAATGGCCATAAGCGACAGGACACCAGAAATGCCTTGATTTACCTTCAGCTACTTTAAGATGCTTGTTGACGACAATGATTTCCTCCTGTGGAAGGAAAAAAAACACATGACATGAATCATCTCACTCTTTTTGATAGCTGATAACTTGCCAGTTCACTGGTTGAGGTAAACAGAAGCACAGAAAAAATGAAATATTTCTTTCTTAGCCAGCTAAGTTTAAGCTTAGTTCAATCTAACCTTGGATTTTTATTTCTCCAACGGTGGATCAATTTTTACCAAGCTACATCACCATGGAAACTTATGCTGGGCCTAAATTAGGGCAGATTAAGATGGGGATTTCAGATCATAAACAGCTCTTGAACCAATCAGGGCAGAGCTTCTGACCAATCAGAGACAGCCTTTTGACAGAGGTGGACCCTTCTGGCCTTTTTGGGGTCATTTCCTCTATGTGATGCTTGTGGCATCAATCTCGTAATGGGAGGTACATCAGTCGAAATTCTTTGATCATAACTGTTATACTGGTTTGCCACAAATATGCACAGATAACATGACGAGCAAACCACACAAACATTATTCCATTTAGTTTTTGTACCGTGATATCGAGGCTGGTTTCCTCAGTCATCTCCACCTTGTCCGCCACCGTCTGTCTGTTCTTGCCGTCATCCTTTCCCCACGAGAGGAGCCCATCTTTATGAGCATCAGATTCATCACAAAATCACAAATCACAAAAATCAATTCATAAATAACCCATAAATCCATTATGGTCAGAGCACAAGTCAACTATGGTCATACCATAAATCAATTACTGTCACAAGAAATAGCCGCTCGTCTGACGGCCTCACAGATTTACTCAGCAATAGAGATGGACTTTCTGATAGATGCAGCCTTTTAAGCTGATCCGGGTCTCTATAGAGCTCTGATTTGAGCAGAGGTCTCAGATCATTCCATTTATATACATGACTTTCTTTTATCAAACTGCCTCAGTCATTCAAAAGGGAAAATCTTTCAGCCACTGCAAGTTAAATTGGTAGATAAGCTAATGCTACAGCTAACAGTTTAACATTAGATGAAAGGCAGTGAGGTTAATTATTTCCCAATGTGGAAACTAGCTCGCATGGTGACCCTAGCCACACTAAGTTACCTCAGACTTCTCAGTCATATTTGTGGCACTTGTGTTTGCTAGAAACATTAGTAAAGTGTATATGATTTACTTTGCTAAGTCCATCTTCTTGTTTCTACACTCATTGTCCATTTTATCAGCTCCACTGACCATATAGGAGCACTCTGTAGTTCTACAGTTACAGACTGTAGTCCATCTGTTTCTCTGCATACTTTGTTACCCTGTTCTTCAGTGGTCAGGACCCCCACAGGACCCCCACAGAGCAGGTATTATTTGTGTGGTGGGTCATTCTCAGCAGTGACACTGACGTGGTGGTGGCATGTTAGTGTGTGTTGCGCAGATGAGCAGATGAGCTATCGTCTCTGACTTTACATCTACAAGGTGGACCGACAAGGTAGGAGTGTCTAATAGAGTGGACAGTGAGTGGACACAGTGTTTAAAAACTCCAGCAGCACCGCTGTGTCTGATCCACTCATTTACATTTACTCTATATAGAACCATATACAACACTTTCTCAATAATTCTGAAGAACCTCTTCAGGATGCAAAGAACCTTTTAATCATGTAAAGGGTTCTTTGGGTGTTCATGTTTCTATATAGAACCACTTTCTTTACTAAAGAACCCTTGAAGATCTGTCTTTTTTTAAGTGTCATAAGGCAGACTCTAGATTCCAGACATGTCTTGGCTGATCGGCTAAAAAAGTACAAACAACAGCACAGAGGCTGATCAGAGAGGTGTGTACCTCTGAGTGCGTGAGTGCTGAGTTTGCTGGCCACTCTGGTTTTCTGGTAGGGACCGCCGACACCCTCCACCTCCCACAGCAGGTCCACATCCGCCGGGTACCTGTTCAGGTAGTGCCTGCACACTGCAGAGAAGACACAGAGGAAACAGGGACAGCTGTTTTAACGTTGCCAGCTAGCCAAGTTGAAGGAGAATTCCTCTAGTTTTTAAAAAGAACAGCATAATTAAGCAGTTAAGATGTAAACAGAGTCTAATTCTGCTGTGAAGCCACAACCGGGCAGTAAAAGAGCTGCATGCTCCGGAGCTGCATGTCGCAGACCCCTTCCATAGGGTTGCTTGTCAATCATCAATGATATCCAATTACATCGCAGGACAGGCCAGGCCTAGTATGATCTTTAAAACCCGAAATAAATATTCTTTGAAATGAACATAATCTAAATTTAGGTATATCTGTGCACTACAGTTGCTATGAAGGAATGCATCTGTGGGTGGAACAAGGATGTCAATTGCAAAGAAACAGATAAAACCTTATTAACAACATAAAACGCTGCATGTGGGACTTTTATTTGTAGGCTGTTTTGGGCCTAACAGTGATGTACCTCCTAAAAACACACCTTTGCTCTCAAAGCACTACAGCACTGATACTAGAAGGTGTGTGTGAGTGTGTTACATCAGTGAATGTGGAGCTGCTTTCCTGTGACAGAGCCAGAACTCCACAGGGGAGAGAACAGGTCTGACTGAATCAGCACACATCACTGTGGTTGCAAGCTAAAGGTTTCAGAGCTGAAACTGCTGAAAAGAGGAACATCAGATGTTTGACATTACATTACATGAGAAGCAGTAAATGTAACCAACTTCTAAGACTGGACTTTGGAGGTGTGGCTGCAAATTTCTTGAAAGAACCGAAAGTGAGTCTCCCGAAAAGAATGAAAGCTGCAATAAAGGCTGAGTGGACACACTAATTACTGACCAATCTGAAATTCTATTTAGTTAGAATTCAAATTTTCTGCTAAAATATTACTTTTTTCTCTTGAGACTGAGAAATCAATGACTTGGCCGTTTTGACTAGAAATTAAGTCGATGAGGAGTGGTCTCTGACTTTTGCACAGTATGGTATAACATCATTAATAAAACTAAAGTGGGTGTTCCTCACTATGTACTGAAGCTATGTGAAGGGCCTCTTACCTCTGGACATAGCTGGCGATAGAGGGTATTTCAGACCGAGTTCATCATCTTTAAAACTATCCACGTAGTCCTCCAGCATCTGCAGCCCGTGCTCGTTTCCACGGTGACTCTTCCTCACAAATATGGAGTCCATGACAGGCAGGAGGTAGCACTGGCTCACAAAGTTGTTACACAGGCTGCCTGCAGGGGGCACAACAGAGGACACATGGCTTTAAAATCACTTTTCAGGATAGTAATGGTGTTAAACTCCCTGCTTGTTGCAGTGCAGGCCTTTGTGTAGTAAGCTGTGTCACTGCCTCTAGGAACTACATTACCCAGAAAGCCCTGCAAACTGGAACAAACCAGTATGTTAATTGCCCTGGCAACTCACAGCATGATTCAAGGTTCAGCAAACTGGTGTTTGTGGGTTCTGTGTGCGTTCATGCAACTGTAAGTCATACTGTAGAGATCATTAATATAGCCTTGTTGTGTTTATTTTGGCTGGGAAATGGGCCAAAACTTCTAAAGTCAAGGGTAATTAGCATGATGTTGCTAATCCTGTCCTGGTTCACACTATAAATGCTAGCAGTTGCTTAAGGGCAGATGACCTTGTTATTTATTTTCTGCAATTTATGGCTGCTTGTTTATGCTACTCTTTGAGTACATTTCTGGAAGGTACTGTCTCCATCTGAGTGGTACTAGATTAGCAACATGCTAAACATGGCAGACTAACTGGTGTTCAGTTAATGACTCAGTTTGCCAAGTGGTGATCAGTTTGTGTGCCTGGAGCGCCCTCTGCTGGAACTGTCCTATGTACCTTAGCATTGCTTATTATTGGAATTGGTATTCAGAAACTCAATGTATTGTATAGATGGTTTATTCATATTTAATAATGCATAATTTGCAGCTAGCCTGTGAGATATCAAAGCTTTATGTTCATTTCTGTTTACAGAAACCAGGCAAACACTGCTACACACCCAGGTTCACCTGTGGGGAGGACAATTAAAGATTCTGATTAACTCCACCTGAGGCTAGTCCATGTGGTTCTAATAAAAGTAATAAATCAAAACTAGCACATCTTTTAAAACGTTTAAAGGTATGAAGACTTCAGAATGTAAAGACGGGTTAGGATGGGTTCGGAAGGGTTAGGATCTTGATGGACTGTATACATTTCTTTGAATGATGGAGGGATATTACTATTAATTTGAGGCACTTGACCTTTATATCAGCATCTATGTAACTCAGGTTCAGTAGTACAACTCACTAAATAATGATTTCCTTTCATTTCCTTTTATTACAAGTGCCATAAAACCCACTTTAAGCCCCAAACATTATGTTTAAATCATTATGCTAGGCCACAACAGCTCCATGAACAGCAGGTTATAGGGAATATATTCAAAATGTTTGCATAATTAAATGTTTAAGATGTAAACAAAGCCATTCAAAGCGTTTTGGGGTGAAACGCTCTGTTCTAGAGACACCAGCTGAGTCAGAATTGTTTACAGTGGTGGTGATAGGAACCAGACATCCACCTCGAAAATGATTAGGAATACACTGCCTGATGTCGATGACACTGTTTTACGATAATTCTAAGATAAAATTTTTGGCCTAAAATGGATTTTTTTTTTTAAACGCGGTGTTCTCCAGGACAATTAGAAAAGGACCATCCAGATTGTTACCAGCATAAAGTTCAAAAGCCAGTGTATGTGCTGGTATGGAGTGTATTAGTGATCTTGCACATCTGTGAAGGCACCATTATTGCTGAAAGATATATACATATTATAAAGCAATATATCGCTGTTGTCGGAAGAAAACCTTGCATCTCCAAAATGGTAACTTTACAGGAGAAGGAAAAAACCTACTTTACTTGTAGTGTAAGTCAATGGAACCAGACTTTTTCCCCCAAAACATTTTGGCCCATTTCTTCTGGTCCATTCATCATGAAATTTACATACAATGTAAAGGACAACTGGCATTTTCAAATTACGTCTAAAACTGAAAACTGGTTTTCTTCCGACAACAGCGATATGCTCGTTTCTAGATGGCGCTATTTGAGGGACATCTACGCTTATTTCTTGACACTGCCAAGGCACATGCCATGGAAAACAATGCAAACAAAGCTATTTTTATGAAAGAATTGGAGGTCTGGCTGGTTAATAGTGCACCAACATGGCTTTTAATATGCAAGTTATTGACAAGTCCATTAACTGGCAAAACACACCTCTGGGTTTGACCGAGTAGAAGCCCACAGCCTCCCCGCTCTTCCAGAGGATTTTGGTGTAGTCGTTTTCACCATGGCACAGAAAGGGCACCTCTCCAGCACTCATCTCATTAGTGCGGTAAATGATGCGATTCAGCACGTACAGCACAATTCTCTCTGCAACAGACCTCACCTGCAAGATAAACAACAACAATAAACAACAAAGCATTAAAAAAACAACTGTAGTTACAAACGCTGAACAGCAAGAATTTATAGAATGTGTTGTTATTTCACCAAAATGTTAAACCAAATGAAGTGAATCATATTTAGGAATATTTAAGAAGGCTTGATGACCACTGCACCCAACTACTTTCTACCCCAACTTTCCTTAGTAATAAACTTGTGGGAAGGAACCATTAATGCTGAAAGATGCACATTTTGGAACAACATATGCTGCCTTTTAGATGACGTCTTTTTCAGGGATGTCCATGCTTATTTTAACATGGTAACGTCAAGGCACATTGTACACGTGTTAGAACAGCATGGCTGAGTAATCGTAGAGTACAGGTAATATGCTGTACCACATTATGGTGCAAAATATGACAACAAAGGCCTCATACAATTATGCATCTGGAGACTTTCAAATTTGGAATGTCACTGCTTTCTATTTTAAGTGGCATTTCATACTGCTCTAACTTTCTTAGAACTGTGGTTTGTACATAAGCTTCTATTACTTGTTAGCAACATTTACCTTCAAAGAACTAAAGAAGCAAACCTCAGACACCAAACAGGTCTTGGTTGTTTATCAACATTTAAGGGGATAGTTGCCTAAATTGGAATTTTAGCAAAAACTATCCCTTTATCCTGGCTGGCAAAGCAAACAACAAACAACAGTTAGAATGGTGCGATTTATGTCACTCTAATTGAGAACTACTGGCATTCACTTGTGAGCACACAAGCTGGATTTGTTTACTGAGTCAGGAAATAAAATCAGGCACATTTTTGCATAGCAAAAATAACCTAGGACCAAAGTAGATAACTGTATGTAAGCTCTGTAAGAATGAAATGCTGTCTGTCCTGCAGGAAATGGGCCCATGTTGTCAGTGGTGCAGTAAGCAACATGGCAGACATGCCAGAGGAAAAGGGGGAGGCTTGGTATGCCCTCTTCTTCCACAGCTGCTTCCAGAACCCCATGGAGAGCGTGTGTAAGCGTGGACTGAGTTCCAGGGTAAAATGAAACCAGGCTTGTTTATGCAAAATGCTCTGTCGAAAACAAAGGCAGTACTCAGCGTCAAAGTTCGGCCTTCTGTCCATTTCCATAAAACAGGCTTTGTTAGCAGAGTAACTAGCTCGCACAACCTCTCCCTCTCTGACATACAGACACAAGCACACACCTCTCTTGGCCATCTCTCCTTATTATTTTCTCTCATTAAATGCAAACATTCTAAACATTTTCATGTGTGTATGCTGAAGTTAACCGTTAAAGCAACAATACGCTTTGTATCGTGTCTAACAATATCCTTAACCATGGTAAAAATCAGAGGTGTAATTTCACGATACGGCACGTATTGTCATTTTTGCATCACGATACCATATTTTTTGATACAGAATTAGAAAAGAAATGCTAACAAATTAACCTTTTTTTGTCATTTCTGCCGTCTCTAAAAGACAGAAATGCTAGCTGAAGGGATAGCTGGCACAAATCATTTTCTTAGAAGACATTAAATAAAAAAAAAATTAAATAATAAAAAATAAACATAAGTGCAATGTCTGCATAAGATAAACAAAAAAAAAGTAAAATATAAGGCTACATTTCAATATTAAACTAATTGAGCATGACAAGTTCATTTATAATTGGATCGTGTGTCTGTATAAAGTGTCCACCTTCTGGCTGAAATGAGCGAAAAAAGACTACCTAATGTGGCTCCATCACTCTCAGCAAACTGCGGAAACCACAACTGAACAGAGGTTGACTCTACAGCCCGAAGAGCCGTTGACTCTACAGCCCGAAGAGCCGTGGACTCTACAGTCGATTAAAGCTGACTGTACTGAATAGAGGTGGACTCTACACAGGCCCGAAACATCATGTTAACCACCCTGGCACAAATCTTTGGTGGGCCTCTACCTAGCTACCTTTTTTGGGTGGTCGGTTAATTTTTCAATTATATCACAGCAGGTTACATGAGGCCTATGCAGCACCACGATGGCAGCATACTAACCACAGTGTTGGGCCTCATAATGCTATAAAGGCATATTTTTTCCATTCAGGTCAAAACAATAGCAAGACTAGGCACACATTAGTGAGAGCACGGGTTAACCTACACCCAACAACCAATGTAACACATCCTTATAAAACGTGTCCACTCTTGCCAAGCAAAAGATTGACTCCAATAACGATATCAGTTAAAACAGGACAGCTGAAATGTACATAATAAAGACCAAAAAATATAAAACACTTAAAAACCCAACCCATCAAGCATCGTATCTAAATCATACTACCACATATTACCATTTTATATTTGGCTTTGAAACTGAGCATCTACTCCGTTGAAGTATCAGGTCTCGTTTTACTGATCCCCCCGGCACATGCTTTTGAATATCTGCAGCATCAAATTCAAAGTGTATTCAAAGACACTACTTCACTGCTGAAAAACAAAGCTGTTTTAAGTTAGCATTTTTCCCGATAAAAATGTCTCTGAAGCGGATAACACGCCATTTGCAGGTGTCACCACAGCCGAGTCAAGATGAAGTCACAGCAATGCTAAATGCGTAAAAAGTGCAGAGCTTCAGAAGATGCGCGAATGTGGCTTCATAAAGACTCTTTGAAAAAGCCTGGTTGTTTGCGCTGACATCTGAGCCCATAAAACGCAGCCAGATGATGAACTGCCAGTTGAACGTTACCAGTTGCTGCTAACAGACTCTCTTTAACTGATATATACTTTGTATTCTCTTTATAAGAGGCTACATTCTGCCCTCACTGGAGTAGGCTAAGTAGGAAGCAGAAAGCTAACTGGCTAACGCTACAATAATAAAATACAGACTTCAGGCTCAAGCCTTTCAAGAAAGAGTTACTCACAAAATGAGACAAAGTAAAGAAGGTTACATACCTATTAAAGCTTAAAATGTGTCTTAAGTGTATTTAAATTAGAGCTGAGAGAAGTCAGTATAGCGCCAAGCTAACCCTGCTAGCTTGACGCTAATATACCATGGTGAACATACAAAGAACATATATTTGTGAAGTGCTGATTTAAAAAACAGATTTCTACATCAGACATTGCTATTACTTTATAGTTTTCTGCCTATGCGTGACATTCGAAAAGTTAAAAATGTTCAGAATCAGCACTTAGCGACCGCTTCACTCCTGTGGGGAGGAGCAGCAGCTGAAGTTGGCTTTCTATTCACCAGCTTCTGATTACAATTTTACGTTCCACCTTAAATGGAGCAGCAGCAACATGTAACTGTTTCTCCACTTAAGGTGGAATGGAAACTTTGAATAAGGGCGTTTTCACACTTGGGCCGTTTCAGCGTCTGAAACACGCCAAACGAACTCAGACCCCCATAAAAGGCCCCAAAAGTAGTTCGTTTTGTGGTTCGATTAATTTGTGCATTGTGAAAACAAAAAACGGCCCCAGTCCGCTTTAGCTTTGCTTTATGCTGAAGAGCTCGAGGCTCGCCGTACACACAGCCACAGTCTTCACTTTAGCAGGTAAAACAGACCAAGGATCATTTATACAGTTCTACTCAGGATAAAGTCTGTCCGTGATCTACAGCAGCGCTGACTTATTAAAGCGATCAGATGCGAGAGCCCGTGTGATTTGACCTTGTTAAAGGCTCGAGCTGGGCACGCAGCTCAGTTTTCAGCTGCTTTCACACTGAACGCTGAATGAATGAAAATTCGCCGGGTGGAGCTTCCGTGAGGAGCACAGTCGAACATGGAGCCCACCGCAGCAGACCCACAGGGCCGTTTTTCCAATTTTGCGCAACGGACTTCGGCCAATCGTTTCAGCGTGGCCAATAGGAGAGTAGTAGGCAGGTCTGGTGATTCTTCTCGTCACCTGATAGGTCGGATTTATCAGAGAACACTGAAAAATCCGAAACACTGTAAGAAGCTGGCTTACTTTAGCTTCACGTTTTCTCCTCACTTTTTGGTTGATGTCTTCATAAATAAGTTAGCGTATTTGAGGTACTAGCATGAGTATTTGATCCTCGCAGTGAGCAATACAGGCACTTGATGTTCAGTCTACCTCTCTTTGCCTAATACTGTACTGTACTGAGAAACATTCATGGTCATCATTGTTAAGAATATCAGGGATTGTGTTACTATAGAAACCACTGCAAACCTATAGAAACCATTCCTGATTTAACGTTTTATCACATGATGAGGTCAAGAAATAAAACGAGGACTAGAATTTCAGATCATGAATCGGAGCTCAGAGCCTTCATTCATACAAAAACAGAGAGGAAAAAGAAGATGAATTCTACATCTGATTTCATGAACGTCACTATCCATCTCACAAAACATATCAAACAAGTGACCAGAACTGGGGAAAAAAAAAAGAAAAAAAAAGTGAACCCAAAGAAAACATGAACCACCCAACCTCAAACAGCTATGGTATCTAAAAATGATCATAAGCTAAAAGTTCTCTGAACGTCCCACCCATTAAACCTTTCTAAGAATACTGGTAAAGGAAGATCTTGGCCTTCTGCAGATGCAGGTACCTTGATGAGGCCTTCTCGTGCAGGGTCCGCTGTTCTGAGGATGTCGTCCACAGCATACCACTGGTCATCCAAAAACAAAGCCACAGCTAGGAAAGGACAGAGAACGCATGTGTGGAACAGTGAGATAGCTAGTGTATATATGTACTGTATTATTGGTGGATGAATAGGGGTCATTATTGGAGCTGGGATGTTTAGATTACCTGTGAACTGGTCCTCCGGGGCAAACAGAGCCAGGACTTTGTGCTTTAGATTTGCTCCATACAGAGGAACGAAGCCCACGTTGGACAGACTGATGCGAATCTGAAACAGTTGCAGCACAGTGTAGATGGACAGTGGTCATCAATGAAATCTGGATGATAGCACCCTATGAAATTTGTTTCACCCCTGCTCCTTCCCCTAAATGCTCCTATATTTTTTTCTAAAAACAATAAAACAATAAAAACACTTTTGCAGTTTTTTTACTGAAATAGTTCAGTAACAGCAGGAAAAGTTTACATATAAATGAAGCTCATTAAGAAATGTACACATTTATTCACTAACTGACTCACATTTAGCAAACTAAAGATTTCTCCACAAGGGGTGCTATTAGCACTCAAAGTATCAAAGTGCATCGCTGAAAGACAGCAAACCAGCATGAACCCACACTTGCAGGATCTCATGAATGCATCTTCATAGTTTCGGTTTCATTTTTTATTTTGGGAGTGCATGAAGTAAAAATACCTGAAACACCCTACGTTAGGCTGGCTTTACATGGTGAAACTTTCAAGTTGCTTGAAACTTACATGAAACCAATTCGCAAAAAGCATTTTTCTGCAACTCATTTGAAACTCATTCACAATAGTAGCAACTTCATAGAACAAGTTTCATGAAACAGCCAGTCAAAATGCAGATAACGTATCACATCATCAAAATTAAAAAAAAAGTATAAACCATTGATTTCACTGGATTAATGGACAAGATGGTTTACTGAATGGTTAAAAAGGAGACCCCCTGCCTGACTAGTAAACTGCCTGACAGTTTATCTGAGCCAGAACAACAAACGTGAGTTTCTCAAAAGCTAATTTCTGTAAACAGGTGCCTTAACTAGCCAGCTAACGCCAACCGATGTTTAAACAGCTGTTTGTGTCAGAGCTTATTCGTCTATCGCCTGTTGTTATCATACTAGATTAATTTTCTTCTTTTAACACTGTATAATTTTACACAGAGCTCAGATTCATTTGGGAACCAAATGATGAAAACTATTACAGAAGAGGAGACTGAGATGTGCTCCTCAATGAACTCATGGTGCTTCTAGGACAGAACGAACGAGACAGAAGTAGGCTGGAACGTTAATGACTATTTAACATTAATTTTCAAACGATTAACATACAAACACCAAATGAAAAAATTAAAGTATATAGTAACGAACCACTGATAGATAGATAAATGACATAATATAGAAAAAACAACAGCAAAGATAAAATGAAGATGATAAAAGTGCAGGAAATTTGTAAATTACAACTCATGGTTGACTTTACTTAACGAGACCGACAGGGTGTTTTAAAAATTACGAGCTGCTAATTTAGTCAACTAGTGGAGTAACTGAAAGAGTTGCATGCGACTGTTGCTTTGTGTAACTGTCAAGTTGCATGGAAATTATGTTGCAGGCAACTCAAAATGCAACTAGTTGCTTGCAAGTTTCCATGTATAAAGCCACGCATTTATATATTTGTATCTGAAATCTGTTTTTATGTCTCAATTCTGGGATTCTGACGGTGTTCTCCACATAGTGGGAATCAGGGTCCAGAACGGTGTGGGCCAGGGGTCTTCAACTCCAGTCCTGGAGGTCCAGTGTTAGCACAGTTTGGTTACTGCCCTACTCAAAAACACCTACTACACCTGGCAATAAACAGGTGTTGAATCAAATGTCTGGGCAAGCAAAATCTTCCAACTGTGCTGGTCACCAGCACTCCAGGACCAGAGTTGACTGTGTTTGTGTGCAAGTGTGAATGTTATTACCTTCCTCCCAGTGGTCAGTGTGAAGTACTGGCCATGCTCAGGGTCACTGTAAAGTAGCTCAGACATGTAGCTGTGGGCGGATCTCTCCAGCTCTTCATGGCTTACAGACACCAACACGTCCACAGGAAACTCCATCCCTACAGGGAGCAAAGATCAAAAGTTCACTCACGGGTCACTCGCAGGTCACTCACATTTTATTACTGTATTGAACACACCAATGACTTCTGAGTTAGCTTCATAAACTGGAGCTTGTTTTAGCAAGCTTATTTTATGTAAACAATCTTTAATTATTGTTAGGAAAAGTTAGGTTGAAACCAAACCTGCCCCACCTGATAACCTAGAGATAAACTAAAATAAAGGGATACTGTATGCCCCTAACATGTAGCCCCTTCAAAACAAACCTACAAACACCAAACCGCCCAGGTCACCTTGAGCAATTCTCAATGTGATCAACTCCATCTAAAAAGGTCCCTCACATGAGGTTTCGGATTTGATTGATTCAAACCCAAAAACAACCTCAGCATCTTTCCAGCTATATAAATAACCTCAAACCTATTCTCCATTTCTCCATTTTCTCTAACAAAAAGAAGGTGAAAGTTACATCCATCCACCCATCCAAAAAACTCTGCATAGGATAAAATTCCTTTACCATGAAGTTTATAGCCAATTAATCCTGTGTTTTAGATCATACTGTGTCTGAAACCAAAGTCTATCAGAGATTGTTGAACAACTCAACACACAGTTTGAGGCAAGTGTGCACGCAGTTAGCAGTACACTAATTAGTGAGATATACGCCTCCATGACTTATAGCAACATTAGACTCATATCTCTAGCGCAAAACAATCACTGGTTAAGCTTATAATAGAGATGGTACAACACCACCAGAGCTCGACTGGTAATATTAGTCAAAATTGATGACAGAATGGTGATAGTACTACAGCTACCTTTTAAGCCAAGGAATTGCAGTGAAACGTATGAGGCGAAGTAAGGTGTGGTTAGGCTAATAATGTTAGCTAAGGTAAAAAAAAAAAAATGGACGATTAGAATTTGTTCATCTTGAAGACCTTAGACTGACACTAGCGATGTGCATTCCGGCTAATTTTGATATTCAAGTATCAGCAAAAAGAAATGAACATCTTTGTTTAACCGTGGGGAAGGAAATAAGTTAGCGCTGTACTGGAGGCTTACACTTCTAGGTAAATCACTCTGGTGTTTAAAGGCTGAAACATCACTAGCATAAAAATTTTGCAGCAAGCGGAGGAATATGTGAATACGTTCACTGAAAACATGTTTTGTTATTCAAAAAAGCAAAGGAAAATCTGTATAAGTAACCGAGGCTGATCACAAAATGCTGATCAGACCTATCCGAGAGCTGTGTGGGCGTGGCTAACGAGCAGGTTGATTGACAGCTCTCTGTCCAAAAGTCCTTGCCTGCTCCGTCCCCTCATACAGAGCTAAAGTCATTATCCAGCTTTTATGTGACGCTAACTGGAACAAAAAAGCCATGGACGAACAGACGCGCATACAGATGGACGAAACAACGCGCAGTACAGATGGACGAAACAACGCGCGAAGGAACGGTCGAACAGACGTGCAGACGGTTGTATCGACAGACAAACAAATGGACGAACGAAGCAACGTGTAAATGAAGGAACGGATGAATGAACTGTGTGTGTGTAAAGATAAACAAATGAACAGGTGACAGGAAGCTACAGACAGGTGGTCTACCTTGCTAGCTTTTGGATATGCTGGATTAGCTTTAGCTCGCTAAGCTTCTCTGACTATGAGAGTTTTATGTGGGAAGAGACGCAGCCTTGTGATTGGTAAGGGGAATGCTTACAGAAGTGTTACCCAAGAATCGGAGAGAAATATGGTGAAATATCAGCCATTTATTGGTCATTGGAATATTATTCAGAAGGTTTACTTAGTACATGTTTATTGTTGGCCTGCAAGAACAAGTTTAACCTAATTAGAAAGAAAACACAGATTATGGTTCCCTGCATCTTTAACAACGCGTCCTTGGAAACTTGTTTCGGCATGGCACACTGTAATATACATATATGCTCACAAATACAAGCAAAACCATAATGATTTACAATAACCTTTCTATCCTGATGTAAATTTCAAGATTTGGATTTGTGCTCTGGGTTTAATCCAGCAGTGTCACTGTCTGCTGATGCGTCCAGTGTGCAGCAGCCTGTGAAAGTTGCGTGCGAGTGCGCGCTGAGCTCTCTAAAGGGGAGTTTCTCACGATGTTATGAAGGAAAGGTTTCACCTCATAAAAGATCCTAACACATCTCGTCTAATTAGAACGAGACGTGTCCAACAGCCACTCTAAACTCCAGCCTGTAACAAGTGAACTCACTGACATTCCCAAACAATGAGAGAACAGACAGAAACACACTCACGCTGCCTGTTTCAGACGGAGCTAACACTCACATACACACTCTACTCGGCACCACTGCAGACTGCTGGCTGCTCTCCCAGCCGTGCTGACCTGAGTGAATCTCTAACTGTCACACGCCATCTGTGTCACACTGCCAATCAGAGCGAGCACACAACACACATGCAGCGCACACACTCCATCCTGAGAGAGCTCCTCACACAGACCTACACTGATAGTCACACACTTAATGACAAACAAGGACCACTCTCAAGATTACAAGAGAGGATACCAGTGGTGACTGACTAGGCTTTCAGTTCTGGCTATAAATGTCAAAACACAATCAAAAAATGAGAGAAAAAAAAAAAAATACACTTATATGAAATAGCTAACATCTGCACCACAACCACGAGACTGCCTGGATCGGTCGCTGAGTGACACTGCAGGCTGCCTAGATCGGCCATTCAAGGGACACTGCACTGCAGCTACAGCGCTGCCTGGACCAGCGGCTCGAGTGATGCTGTACCTCAGCTATGAGGCCACCTGGACCAGCTGATTGAGTGACACTGCATTGCCGCTATGAGGCTGCCTGGAATGACCGCTCGAGTGACGCTGCACCACAGCTTTGAGGCTGCCTGGATCGGCTGCTCAAGGGAAGCAACACCTCTGCTACGAGACTGCACTGACCATCTGTTTAAGGGACGGTCTGTGCAGGGATGAGGCTGCCTGCACCGGCCGAGTGACAGTGCACTACAACTTTGAAGCTGCCTATATCGGTCGCTCAAGGGACACTGCGCTACATCTACTATGCTGCCTGGACCAGCGGCTTGAGTGATGCTGTACCTCAGCTATGAGGCCGCCTGGACCAACCGATTGAGTGACACTGCACCGCCGCTACAAGGCTGCCCGGAATGGCCGCTCGAGTGACGATGCACCGCAGCTTTGAGGCTGCCTGGATCGGCTGCTTGAGGGAAGCTACACCTCTGGTACAAGACTGCACTGACCGTCTGTTTAAGGGACGGTCTGTGCAGGGATGAGGCTACCTGGACCGGCCGAGTGACAACGCACCACAACTTTGAGGCTGCCTATATCGGTCGCTCAAGGGACACTGCACTACAGCTACGATGCTGACTAGACCAGCTGCTCGAGTCACTGTACTGCAGTTACGAGGCTGTCTGGACTGGTTGTTCAAGAGACGCTGCCTGGACCAGCCACTCCAGCAATGCTGTACCGCAACTATGAGGCTGCCTGGACTGGCCGCTCAAGTAGCACTGTACCGCAGTTACCAGGCTCCCTGAAGCGGTCGTTTGAGGGCTGCTGCACTGCAGCTACAAGGCTGCCTGGACTGGCCACTCAAGGGTTGCTGCACCACAGCTATGAGGCTGCCTTGACTGGCCAATCAATTGACGCTGCACCGCAGCTAATAGGCTGCCTTTGAAGGCCACTCGAGTGTAAGCTGCACCCCAGCTACGAGGCTGCCTTGACCAGCTGCTCACGTGATGCTACACTGCAACCACGTGGCTGCCGGGACCAGACGCTCAAGTAATACTGTATTGCAGCTATGAAGGTGCTTGGACCCGTGGTGTTCAGCTGCATGAGCGATATATAGGCTTATATAAATTAAACTGCCTGTTATAATTTATTTGTCTTGAAAATCCACCACAGGACTTCGTATCTGATCAGGACTAAACTTATGAGATGACTGCTGAGTTTGGTGAAAAACAGTAGGTACTTCGGCCTGTTATTTCTCAGGGGATGAGGTATAACCCCATACATATGCAAATGTTTGGGCACCACAAACGAGATATTTTGTTGATTTTCAAAGAAAAAAGGAGTTTACACAACTTATCCACCAAACTATTGTTCCGTTATTTTATACAGTTATGTTATATTTGACGAACTTAAAGAACAGACATGTGCACAAGTACATACATCCTTCTAAGTCTGTACTGAATAATAGCCCCTTCAGCAGATTTCACAGTTTAAAAACATTGTTTGGAGCCACTTCTAGTTTTGCAATCTTTTTTGAGTCATCTTGCATGTACATGTTTAAGATCTACCCACAGATATTCAAAGATTGTTCAGGTCAGGAGACTGTGAGGGTCATTCAAAAAGCTCCAGCTTGCACTTCCTTGAGGATTTTGAGGTATGTTTAGGATCATTATCTGCTGTAGAAACCAGCCTCTTATCAGATTCAATTTCTTGACTCACTGTCAAATTTCCAGAATTTGCTGATATTCAGTAGAATCCATCCTCTCTCTTTGTTTCTTTTCCATCCTTTATTATACTTTTCCTTCCATTTCATACTCTTTTCTTCTTTCCTCTTTCTTTTTCCTTTCTCATTTCCTTCTTTTGTTCTCTTCCATTTCTTTATCTTTCATCTGTTTTTCTTCCTTCTGTTGGCGCACCCTTTTTTGATTCAATTACCTGCCTTTCTTTTTCCCCCATCCTTCCTTTTCTCCTCTTTTTCCTTCCACCCTTTTTCATTTTCATTCCATCCATTTTTCCTCTCTTCTTTTTTCATTTCTCTTGCATCCTTCTTGTTCATCTTTTCTTCTATTTTTTAATCTTTATTTTCCTTGTTTTTCTTCCTTCTTTCCACTCTAGTACCCTTTTTGACCCATCATCCTGTTTTTTCTTTTCCTCTTCCTTTTTTCTCTCCTCTGTTCTGTCCTTTCATTTATTTTCGTTCCTTCCTTTATTCCTTTCTCTTATTTCTTTGTTTCATTTCTCCTGCTTTTTTCCTTTCTTTAG